TCCAATGAAACTCCTGACCACCCCCACCGAGGTGGGAGTCGGCCAGGAGCTGACACATTGTGTTTTGGCGGGATCTGTGGCAATACCTGAACGTCCGACTAACGTGACCCAAATACCGCACCGATTTGCAGAGCAAATTACACTTCTGGGGCTTGAATTTCAAATTAGCAGCCCGCATTTTCAGAAAAACGGCAAGCAACCTCTGGAGGTGTTCATTGAATGTTTTACTAAAGACGATGACATCGTCTAAGTAAATCAAACATAAATCTCAATGCAACCCAGCTAGGACCAATTCCATTAATCGCTGAAAAGTTGCTGGCACTGAATGTAGCCCCATCGGCAAGCGGTTAAATTGGAAAAGGCCGTGCGGCGTACGAAAAGCAGTTTTTGGTTTAGATTCATCATCCAGAGGGAGCTGCCAGAACCCGGACAATAAATCCAATGTGGAGAAGAACCGCGCCCCTGCCAGGGCATCAAGCGATTCATCCATCCGAGGAAGCGGGTATGCGTCGGCTACAGAAATCTTGTTCAGCCGACGAAAATCGACACAAAACCGCAATGAGCCATCGTGTTTTTTAACTAAGACGATCAGCGCACTCCAAGAGCTGGTAGAACGGGATATAATATCCGCAGCTAGCATATCGTCTACGGCTGATTTGACATGATCCTTTTGGCGGGACTCAACCGAAAAGGATTTTGGCAGATTGGCGCGCTGTCACCCATGTCAATATAGTGTCGCAGCAGTTTAGTACACCCAATATCGTATTTGTTTTGACTAAAAACGTCGGAAAACTCGTGCGGGAGGATTCGAAGCCTCTCACGCTGTGAGTCGGACAAGTCCGATGATCCCGCACAAAGCGCATCCAGCCACCCCTCATCACGGTCCGAATGCGGTCGCGCCGGCGGAGCGGCGCTCACCCGACCAATGACCGGTTCCTCACAGGGTACCGGCGTCACGTGCGCAAGCACGGTCCCTTGAGGTACCACAGCCGTTCGCGATCCCACATTGAGGACCGCGATGAAGGGGTCCCCGTCCCCTTTCACAATGGTCTGGGCCGCTATCAAATCGGGTCCGTTGACCCCAGCCCTAGATGGTCCCAACAGAACCCCCCGATCCCCAACGCCCTGTGCAAATGGTCGCCGCAGCCTAAGAGGCACGAGCATCTGAGCTCCCGGCGGTACGCGTACCGTCCTCGCAACCAGCGCCTGTACCGTCGCAAATGCCGTACGGACAGTAGCGGGGGAGGACAAAAACATCATACGTCGGCCCGACGGGAGTTCGATGCAACCCTGGTCGACCAAGATACGAATCAGCATTTTGGCCAAGAAATCCGTCCCCAACAGGCACGGAACCGCCAGCGAGGAGGAGACCAATATCAGGCCGGATAATTTGATGTCCCCAATACAAATTTGCACGCGGATCTGTCCGATAATGCCCAGCGAGCCCCCGTTAGCAGCGTAGCATGGAACATCAACGGGGAGCAAAGGACGGCTTTGTACGGGGAGAATGTTATAAATCAAATCGGACCCGCACCTCAACCCCATCAATATGCCCCACAACGACCGACGACCCCGATGACGCGGCAACAACGCGATGGGCCAACTCGGACCACTGGCCTGGTTGGAACGCACTCCCCACTGTGGCACGTTTCGGCGCGACGACAGGCAAATTTTGACCCCCGTTCATTGCAGTGCGTGAGTGTGTCAGAGGTGTGTGCGTAGGCCAAACATGTGGGGTGCCACGACTCGCCGGAGTTTGGTGGTGGCACGACGTCCGGCCGAGGCGTCGCCCCGCGCTGTCGAGGAGCCCGGCATCCCGAAGCCACATGGCCCCAGAGGCCACAGTTGTAGCAGCGCGTGAGCGCCCCAGACGGCTTGGGCTGATCCTGGCGGCTCGGTCCGTCCCGAGCCGGTCGTCCCCCGGCTCTCCACTCCATCGGGCGATCCACAGCGCAGACCTCTTCCGATGGGAGGGTGGTTGCAGCCACGGTATGCCCGGCCGCCGCCTTGCTGGCCTTGCGACGCTGGGACAGCAAGTTAGCGTGGATGTGCCGCGCGGCCCACAAGGAACACATCTTCGTGTCGTCTTGCGCCAAGACGACAATGTCCAAATCGTCCGCCAACAGCAGTATCTTCTCTGCCACCATGGCATTCACCCCTTCCTCGTCCATCTGAGGGAAAGCCGCCTTCGCTAGGGCCAGGAAAGCTGTGCGGTATGCCAGAGGCGATTCCTTGGCGCCCGCTGGCGATCGTAGAACAGCTGCCTGCAGTCCGAAGGTGGTCCATAGACTGCAGACAGGAGTTGAAGCGCCATTTGCAGCGTGGCGCGCTTCGTTCTTGGCGCCGAGGTGAGGGTAGCGAGGGCGTCACTGTCGAGCATCGCCGGTAGCGCGCGTAGCGCCTCGTCATCCGTCCATTGTGCCATTTCTTGGTGAGCGAGGAAGCGTCTTCGGAAGGCTCCCCAGTCACCGTCTTCCCCCACAAACTCTTTGAGAGGTGGTAATCGCTTCTGTAACGCGGCGTCCTGCAGTCGAAGATTGTGCCCCGTCGTTCCCGCCACTCCGCACAGTTTTGGCGGGAAGGGCGGGTGCCATCGGCGGTCGCTCTTCTGGTGACACGCCGGCCGCCATTGATGACGTGGCGGGTTCTGGTTGGCGAGAGTCGGTCGCCTGACGTAGCCCGGCCCCGCCCTCAGCACCCACTGTACTGATGGCGGCAAATCCGACTTCCAGGCCCGTAGAAATGGCAGGAACCGGCGCCACGTTTCGTCCATCGTCGCCCCGTGCAGCTCCTCCAGCCCCCAGGCGAGTGATTTCCTCCAACGTGGTGGCTGCCGCGTAGAGTAGCTCCGCCAGGCGGGAGTGAGCCAGCCGTAGTCCATCAGCCGACGGTCCCCACGCGTCCTGCCGTTGCGGTGTGGGTGGACTCGGCCCCGGTTGCTCGGATTCGCCCTCCGCAATCTCGGGCTCTGAGTCGGCCGAGGTTTCCTTCTCCCCCGATTCCCTGGTACGAGCCGTCCGTCTTGTATCCATCCTTAGAAGACCACTTCTGATGCCAGTTGTAGTAGGTTCCAGGTGACTTGGACGATGTAGTTGGAGGCACACTTATTTATTAAGCACAAGTACATAACAGGCCGAGATGTATAACACTCGAAGGGGTATCGGCCCCTTCACCCATCTAACAGTGAGATCAACACTCTATGTCACAGCTAGCCTTACTCCTAGGTCCTCCACTACAGGGCTAGGGGAGGCTAGCTAACCCAGCTCTGGTTAAGCTGGGATTACGGCACCCTGCGTCCCCAGACCGGCTCTTACAAGAGCATCGGCTCTGGGCTCTTGGGGCCACGCCACTGGCTTGCCCTGGTCGGTCCTGAGAAGGACAGTGATCCAGGGGAGTCCCAGGGCCTATCTAGCAGGTCTTCTTGCTTCTCTGGTTAAGGCTGAACACTGAACCCCGAGCCCTCCGGCTCCCCGCCTTACATAGCAACTCCCCCACTGAGGGGTGGGGCCGTGGGGGATCCCAGCGCCGTGTTAGCCCCCCAGGCTAAACGGTGCGGACGTGGATGTAAACACCTCTCGGCGTACGGGCATAACCACGCCCAGTGTGTTTGTTTGCCCTCCATAACACCTCTACACCAGTACCAAAATATAATAATAGGGGTTTTCCCCTTTTTTCTGGCAACAAAACTGAAATCTTTTTACAAGGATTCACGTCTGCATTAACCACAATACTTGCAGTCAAATACAAACAAAAACACACTATGATAATATATGCATTGTCCTTGAAACTGATTGGTCCACACCAAGGGACGGCTTTCTTTTGAGCCTCGACCCAATTGGTGCTCGACCAGAGGAGTGTTTTTGTTTGCATTTGACTGCAAGTATTGTGGTTAATGCAGACATGAATCATTGTAAAAAGGTTTCAGTTTTGTTGCCAGAAAAAAGGTGAAAAACCCTATTATTACTTTTCCACATGACAATTTATTTTGGCTATGACGGGTGGTATGAGGCCTTATCACAGAAAATTGGCCAGATCATTGTGACCCAACCGAAGAATCAATCATGAATCAGAACATTGGCTGCATAAACCTACTACGCATTATAAGTAAAAAAAAACATATCGTTTAGTGACAGTGCAATTTATTCTTTCTGTATATATAGTGACATAAGTGTTTTACGTCTAACGATATTATTGTATATACCAGTGGCGGCTCCTGCAAAATCTCTCAGGGGGGGCAAATGTCTGGATGATTGATAAGGATAAGGTCCACCCATGCAATGGATAAATTAACAGCTTAGGCATGTAAAGGCAACTTCACTTCTTTAATATTAATGAAAAATAAAGTGACTCTTACAATACATCTTGTTTGTTTCTATATTCACTATTAAAAAAACCACTCAAGTTTATTTTATTAAAGATTCCACTAGGTGGCGATAAATTATATTGTTGGATGAAACGTGCTTACGTATGATGACGTTAGCACGTATGATGACGTAAGCACGTTAGTGCATGCCCTCCCGGAAGCCATAGAGAATGCATTGGAGCGCCCGCCGTTCGAAAAAAAACATCTTTCAATGTAAGTCTATGGGGCCACTCGGGGCGATTCTCAGCCGGAGTGAAATCGCCCAAAAAGAGGCGGTACTCCACAGAACGTAGCATGACGCTGATTGGACTATATCCAGAGGCTGACAGTGACGGCTAGCGTGACTCTGTGGTTCAATGACATTGGTGGTGCGTCGCCCAATCGCCCTAATGAAGAAACCGCCCCTGGTATATACTTATATTTAATTTGGATAATATAACATTATTTTGTTACATTTGTTATTTTATAGTTTCAATCATATTAAATTAGTGAAAGCATTAAAATAAAATGTATAGATGGCATTTGTTTCCCCATTGTTAGGTCATTATGCCAGCGCACAATGATCAAGACTCATTATTGTTACCGATACTCTACCTGCTTGCCAGAGATGTGGTTCATGTCATCTACAATCTCTTACCCATGGGAATGTCCGCAAACTTCTCATTCATAACAATCTTGGGAGGTGGTCCCATATTGGAGCGGCCTTAAAAGTACAACGTGACATTTTTTAAAGCATCAAAACTACATACATTGGGTGACTATTATTGCATAACTGACAATTATTACGCACTAATGTATTGAGCATTTTATATGTATATACATCTTCATGTTATTGGCTAAATATTTTTTTGCTTTCTGGATGGCAGGGAGTAAAACGCATTTGAAGTAAACTTCTGTAAATTCCATGGAAAACAAAAACAAACAACGCAACGGACAATGGCACAATAGGAAATGTTGGTATAGCCAGATTCGAAACCGTGACTTCAATATTACCAGCTCGAATCTCTCGCTTGGTATCAGCCCCCAATGTCACACAACCTCATAATTAACAAACAAAAATCTTCACACAGTCAATAACACTTATATAATAGACGACGTTTTGGGTAATTGGCACTTATCCTTTGTATATAAACTAGCTGTACTACCCGGCTTCGCCCGGGACTTGTATCCACCACGCCCGGCCGCCTTTGTCTCCCCAGTGGCGATGTTAATACGCCACACCAGTTACTCGTTTTGAGGCTGAGTCCCTCCCTCACCGCTCTCCCCCCCTCACCGCTCTCCCCCCCTCACCGCTCTCCCTCCCTCACCACTCTCCCTCCCTCACCGCTCTCCCTCCCTCACCGCTCTCCCTCCCTCACCGCTCTCCCTCCCTCACCGCTCTCCCTCCCTCACCGCTCTCCCTCCCTCACCGCTCTACCTCCCTCACCGCTCTCCCTCCCTCACCGCTCTCCCTCCCTCACCGCTCTCCCTCCCTCACCGCTCTCCCTCCCTCACCGCTCTCCCTCCCTCACCGCTCTCCCTCCCTCACCGCTCTCCCTCCCTCACCGCTCTCCCTCCCTCACCGCTCTCCCTTCCTAGCTGTACTACCCGGCTTCGCCCGGGTCTTGGATCCACGACGCCAGGCCGCCTTTTTCTCCCCAGTGGCGATGTTCATACGCCACAGCAGTTACTCGTTTTGAGGCTGAGTCGACCTAGGGGAGGCCCAGGACCAGTTAAAATAATCGTCACCGGTGGTGGCCGTGAGCGGGAATGGAACTCGGGTCACTGGGTTCGTAGCGCGGCGTGCTAACCACGACACTACAATGCGTTACGCTTCCGTTGTAGGATTTGTGTGAGGCTTGCCGATCCGCTGTAGGGTTTTAGTGAGGCGCGCCGATCTGTAGGGTTTGTGTGAGGCGTGCCGATCTGTTGTAGGGTTTTAGTGAGGCGCGCCGATCCGTTGTAGGGTTTTAGTGAGGCGTGCCGATCCGTTGTAGGGTTTTAGTGATGCGCGCTGATCCGTTGTAGGGTTTTAGTGAGGCGCGCTGATCCCCCGCGATACAATAATACTGTGTAATCGCTATAATTTAATGATTTACCGAGCCTATAATAGTAATTGCACACATTGGGGTGGCGGGGGAGTGAAGAGGACGTGAAACTTTGATGAATTTACCTCAGAGTCGCGTGGTGGGTGTCGAGGCCTAGCACCGTGCAGAGCCTCCGGCCTCACCTGATTTTGCCACCCGGCTGACGCTGGGTACGGGTGCCGTCCCCCCCCCCCCCGCGCTACAATAATACAGTCTAATCGCTATAATTTTATAATCTACCGACCCTATAATAGTAATTGCACACATTGGGGTGGCGGGGGAGTGAAGAGGACGTGAAACTTTGATGAATTTACCTCAGAGTCGCGTGGTGGGTGTCGAGGCCTAGCACCGTGCAGAGCCTCCGGCCTCACCTGATTTTGCCACCCGGCTGACGCTGGGTACGGGTGCCGTCCCCCCCCCCCCCCGCGCTACAATAATACAGTCTAATCGCTATAATTTTATAATCTACCGACCCTATAATAGTAATTGCACACATTGTGGTGGGGGGGGAGTGAAGAGGACGTGAAACTTTGATGAATTTACGTCAGAGTCGCGTGTTAATGCGTGCGCCTATTTTTAAGGGGAATTAAAAATGGCGTCCACCCCGCGCCTAAGGCGTCGCTACCCGTTGCCAGGGGCAACCGCCGTCCAATGAAAGCGGCGAAGGCGTGGCTACCCGTTGGCAGGGGCAACCGCCGTCCAATGAAACTGCAGCCCACGGCGAAGGCATCGCTACCCGTTGCCAGGGGCAACCGCCGTCCAATGAAAGCGGCGAAGGCGTCGCTAGCCGTTGCCAGGGGCAACCGCCGTCCAATGAAAGTGCGTATGGTCCGGCGACACACATACACACACACAGACAGACAGACAGATTCGCGATTTTATATATATAGATATAGATGCCTAAGAGATAGAATGGATAATAAACATCGGAGATGTCAGTTGTTGAAACTTTCCAAAATGTTGTAGCATGAGCCTGCCATGTCATTCATGCTGCCAGTTTATACTGGTAGGAACCTCCTGGTTACACCAGCCCATAGGGGATTATTGTGTCCGTCTGTCCGTCGTGCATCCAAAAATGGGAGGGGTGGGGCTGGGTGGAGAGGGGAGGGTGGGGAGGAGCTGGGTGGGGAGGGGCTGGGTGGGGAGGGGCTGGGTGGGGGGTGGGAGGGGTTGGGTGGGGAGGGGCTGGTCATCCCGTAGTGCCCTTATAAAACTCAACGTTTAACCTACTCACGCCGGCTTGTGCCCGCCCTCACAGTCGGCCATATTTGCGGAATACAGCACGCCGCCATTGATCCTGGCCATTGACCGAGCAACCCAAAGTTCCTACCAGCTCCCTCTGCAGGAATGTGTTCCTTCTCTTCTATTTCCCTCTCACCACCTATCCAATGCTCTATACTTATCTCTTCAAAGCTTATTTTTCACTCCATACCCCTATCGTGCCATGTTTGCTCCTCTCTCAATACATCTCTGCTGAGCCTCTCTCTGCTTCCCTCAGTCATACATCTCACAGATCTCAGTCCACACATCTGCTCCACGTGAACAGCATTAACTCGTGTAATTGGCCATCATATGACGGGTATATTCACGTCGTAAGCAATCCAGTGTTTCTTGACTATGTCGATTGTGCCATCTCTGTGTTTAATCGACGTCTTATTTCATCTGCAGACTATTCTGCATTCATCTGAATGGAATCTAAATTACGTATGTGATGTGCCGAATGTAATGTACTCTTTCTGAGAGTAATTTATTGCAAACCTGGAAAAAAATTGCAATTGTAAGTCACCTTTATCGTAGCATTATAAGAGCTGTTTGAGTTACCTTTCTATCAGGAAGAAAGTAAACGAAATGTTTCAATCAAAAGTTCATTTTACCAAAATGGATTTGCGCTCAGGTACAATAACTTACTGAATTCTGAATTTATGTAAATTTTAAAAAAGTTACACTATTTATTATTGATCGGACGGGGAGAGGTCGTGTTCACTCATTTTCACAAATTTCACTATCAGTGCGAGGAAAATAAATCAGATCTCAGGCCACACATCTCCTGTGTTGGCGCCATCAAGCGCCAAGCAACCGAGCCTCTTCGAGGACATCGTGCCAACGCTGCTCAATCTAGCTGCGCAGAGAGAAAGCCGACGACGGGCTCGCTGCGGCCACGCCCAAGCGAGAGGGAACCTCTGAAGAGCTGGTTGTATACCCCTCCCCCACCCCACAAGCTCCGACACAGCGCCCTGCCTCTGCTTAAAACAATAATTATCAAGGGAACAATACAACGCACACACAATACGCACACGAATAAGACTATTTCAAAAAGTTATCTTTGTGTTTCGAAAAGGGTTGCCATTTCAAGGTGGTGCGTTCAATATCAACTGATCGTGAAAAGCAGTTGCTGCCCATCGAGTTACATGAACAAGAAGTGTTTTAGTCATTTATTTTCGTTAATTGCATAATCTTGCCGATGATTCTATTGACGTATGCTTTCGCCTTTGCATATTAGAGTGTCATATGTTTGTTTAGAATTTTAATTTCTTAACACAAAGTGGTTGAGTGTTTCTTTCCAAGTCCATGCAAAACTATTATTTATAAGAACTGTATCCTGCGTTGAGATATGAATTTGGAGACCTAACATAACATAAACACACTAAGATAATCAATAAATGTTTAATCAAAGATAATCGTTTTATCCTGATTGATAGGCTAAGCCTAATTATCATAACTGCGGACATTAACATAATCGCAATCATTCGCATAAATTAATACGAGTATCCCCATGATTATCATAATTTATGCATATAATTACAAACATTAGCATAATTTCCGCGCATTACGCATTTTTTCAAATGTTATTAATTTTTATTATTTTTTATAAAAATGTCATAATCCGACAAACCACGTCAACTGGCTTCTCTCAATCTAGAGCAGCAGCAGCTTGACTTTGAGGCTTTCCAGTTTACCGAGCTCCTCACCCGATCACGGATGGTGAGCCCAGCAGCTCTGCGGAAAAACCTAATTTCGGCCCCTTGTACCCGTGATCTCATCCTTTCGGTCAGTTCCCAAAGCTCATGACTATAGATGAGGGTGGAAATGTAGTCTACCTGTAAACCGAGAGTTTTGTTCGAGAACTCAGCTCCTGCTTCACTACCATGGAACAGAACAGTTCCCGCAACATTGATGACACTGCACTGATCCGCCAGTCGATCTCCCGTTCCCACTTACCATCACTCGCAAAAGAGACCCCGAGGTACTTAAACTCCTCTACTAAAGGCAGCTCTTCCCTCCTCACCTGGACAAAACAATCCACCATCTCACGGGAATGAACCAAGACCTTACATTTGGAGGTGCTGATCCTCATCCCAGCCGCTTCACACTCGGCATCAAACCATTCAAGTGCACGCTGGACATCACAGACTGACAAGGCAAAGAGGACGTCATCTGCAAAAGCAGCGACGCCACCTTCATGCCCCTGTACTGGATACTCTCTATTCCTCAGCTGCGCCTTGATATCCTGTCCATGAAAATCACAAACAAAAGTGGAGAGCAAGAATACGGACACAGCTTTAGAGGGACCGGATAGCTCACAAAAGCGTCACCGGTACATCATACTCCTGCAGTACCTCCCACAAGACAATGCTGG